ATACCAAAAATGGCAATATTTACTTGATAATAATAATAATGTCACTTTGTTTTGTTGCCCATATACCCAATGTAGTTAGTTCTCAAGATTTTTCACATCAATAATCAAGTATGTAATCCGGAACATGATAATCTAAATCAATCAAACAAAATATATGCCATAAGTACATATATCACTATGAGCTGATGAGAAAAGGCGATTTTGGGATTTCTCTTGGATTTTATTCAAATAGTTTATATTTAATTAATTGGAGGTTTTTATGTTAATCGCAATTTATTTAAAACAAAATAGAATGGTCATTTAGTAGTCTCAAATGTGTAATATTTGTGAAATTTTTGCTTTGAGGAGTTTATGTGATAAAGATCCATCAAGCTGGAACATATGATATCAAGCCAATCGATCCAGCTAAAGTAACATCTGATCGAATAAACAAATAAACAAATAGAAGATTTTCCCGCCAATTTACATTATTATTATTATTATTATTATTATTATATTTATCGGGAATTGGTTAGTTAGTTATTAATGCATTGACCATTGTACATCCATCAACTAGCTTCCAGGAATTTAATGATTTTTTCAATTACCCAATTCTTTATTATATTTGCTACTTATTATTATTAACATCTTCAATCTAATCTTTATCCTGGAACCCGTCACACCTTTAGCCAGTGTCAACACTGACTTAATCTATTATTATCAGTCTTTGATAAAATTTGGGTGATTGCCTAATTTTGAAAATTGAAAATTCAATTAATGTTATTATTTGTTTTTTAGTTTGTTCATTGTGATAATAAATGATAACCTTTTCATTATTTAAGGAATAGTTAAATCCCAAATTATTTATTATTTAGTAAATAAATAATAATAAATTTAAAATAATTCTACAGTATTATTTATGCATCGATTTAAATTATTATAAACACACTCTTGCTGGCCACCAAGGATATCCTCTGAGTTTGGCATAAACAACAGTACCAACTTCAAAATCCATTGTCATTATTATATTGATGTAAAAATATAAAAAGTATTTTTTTATCCCTGAACAATTATTATTTTTTTTTTTGTG